GAAGAAGTGATATAGCATTGGTACAAGTGGGTTGGAAGAATTTTTCCAACTGTGTACAAGAGTGTGTCTACTGGAAAAAAAAAATACAAAAATGGGGGGGTGTGTGTAAAAAAACACATAACATAAAACTTACCATCTTAACCACTTTTAAGTGTACAGTTCCATAGCATTAACTATATTCATATTGCAAAACAGACATCCAGAACTTTTTCAGACTTTTGAAAATCTGAAACTCTATACCCATTACACAAGAACTCCCCCTGTTCCCCTTCCCCTAGTCTCTGGGAATGTCCATTCCACCTTATGTTTCTATGAACTGGACTACTTTTGACACTTTATATAAATGAAATCATATGATGTTGCCTTTTTTAAAGATTTATTTATTTTAGACAGAGAAAAAGAGAAAGAGCATGGTGAGTGGAGTGGGGAGGAGTGGAGGGGGAGGAAGAGAGAGAAAGAATCACAAGCAGACTCTCCACTGAGCACGGATCCCAGCGCAGGGCTCAGTCCTATGACCCTGAGATCAGGACATGAGCCAAAACGGAGAGTCAGACACTTAACCGACTCAGCCACCCAGGCGCCCCACAATGCTGTCTTTTTACATCAACGTTTTAACATTGGTATTTCTGTCCGGGTTCTATCATGTTTGTTTTCTTTATACATCTCTATGATTTCATAAATGAGCATTTATTTTTTATAAGAAGCAAAACAGCCATAAAATGCAATATGAATAGTTTCTGGGCTTGAGCAGTTATGTGTACCTAGCATAATAAACCTGTTGGGCAGTGTCTATTACAAATGCCTCTTGACAGATGAAAAAAATAGGATGAAGTTTGACTAAGATCACAAAGCTAAGGATGGTAGAGTTGGAATTTAAATACATATTTTATGATTCCTGAATGCAAATTCTACCACTCTGCTATGAAGGCTTAGGATCTGAGCACAACATAATATTTGGTGAAAAACAATTCCAGTTCCAAAGGCAGGTAAACCATGCTAATTATGTAAAAGCACACACAAAGAAGACTCAGGATAACAAAAATAATCCTCTATGTTATCCCTGTAATGAAGGAGGGTGAAACATTATTTGAGCTCTATAGTATTATATACTGAATTTTCCAAGTCGGTGCTCCCCCCCAAACACCAACCATGAGTAAATATTAAATTTTCAGTATTCTGAGAAAATTAGTGAAACCTGTAACCAATGTGTTAATGGGACTAATTGTAGCTGCAGATTTATGTGTGCAACTGCAACTTTTTACCCTTTTTGTTTGCCTTTAAATTTCCTGGACTCTCCTGGGAGAGGCAGATTTGAAATGTGCCTCTCATTTTGCCCCCTCTCGAATAACCCTTTTCTCGCTGCATACTCAATGCCTGCTTGTCTTTGCTATCCATTAGGTGGATGAACTTGGGCTCGGTTACAAATTTGGCGAGGAGCTATTTGTGTATGTTTCATTGGCCCTCAGCCTGTAACATGATGAGTCCTAGCCCTTACCTAAGTTCTTTGACCTGGGGAACACCCCCAGGCAGTCCCCGCCCCACAGGGCACCTCCTGCTTAATTTAACTCATGTGGCAAGGAGACAGTTTGGGGTTTGGTTTGGACAGATGTCTCTGGGTGAGTATTTTATATGGAAGGCATGCGAGCTTCTTTCTTTCTCCCGTTTGGTTTAAATCTTAGATCTCTTCCTCCCATTCAGATGCCTCCAAATAGGGGGTTTGGGCTCTCTTAGCCTCCTTTTCTAAAATGTTGGTGAGGAAGCTGTTTAGTTGGGTCAGTGAAGCCCTGACTTTTTGGGAGGAACCAACGTTCACAGAGGTTGGGCCTCATTTGGTTGGTTTGTTGTTGCGTATTTTGGTGTCTTTGGATAACACTTGCTATGTTCTCATTGGAAAATGGGAAATGACAATTTGACCCCACATGCAGACCTCTGGGCTGTATTCTCCAAAATTGGGCATTTTTTCATAATGCTGCTTGGCCACATACAGAGAAAAATGACCAACGAATGGATCTATCCATTATAATCTCGTTTTACCACTAGATTTGTTTTGCAAAAAGGAGACATCTGGAAATTAGGCCTTTAAGATTTTGCTTGCATCTTGTGTACTTGTGTGTCTATGAATACTATAAATGTGAGAGATTTTCTCTACCCCAGGGTGGTATTGTTAAAATTAACTTATAAAAGAGCTTTATTTAGTTGGCTTAAAGTAAGTGCTTGTAGGAGTTGGGCATTCTAAAACTCAAAGATAAAAACTAACCCAAATGTTTTATAAGTTCACATGATTTTGGAAAATATTCAGTATTTTTAAAAATTTTTATTTTTTTTATTTCTTTTCAGTGTTCCAGAGTTCATTGTGTATGCACGACACCCACTGCTCCCTGCAATATGTACCCTCCACAATACCCACCACCAGGCTCATCCAACCTCCCACTCCTCTCCCCTCCAAAACCCTTAGTTAGTTCGTCAGAGTCCACAGCCCAATGTTCATAGTAGCAATGGCCACAGTTGCCAAACTGTGGAAAGAACCAAGATGCCCTTCAACGGACGAATGGATAAAGAAGATGTGGCCCATATATACTATGGAGTATTATGCCTCCATCAGAAAGGAAGAATACCCAACCTTTGTATCAACATGGATGGGTCTGGAAGAGATTATGCTGAGTGAAAATATTCAGTATTAAAGCTAATTTAAGGTTGTTAGCTTAATCAAATGGACACATCTTTAGAATTATCAGCATTATATATTATATACAATTTCCATTCTGCCTGTGTTTACTGAAATTCAAATAAGTTCATGTTATCTGCATTGCAAAATTTGTCAAGAAAGGGGAAAAAAACTTGGAACTTCGTCTGATGCCTCATGAAGTTTTATGGGTGATTTAAGAACAAATAAACAAATGTGATGCAAGGAAAGTCAGACTGGTTATTTAAAGAGAGGAAATTTAGGATAAATACCTGAACATAGGGGCGCCTGGGTGGCTCAGTGGGTTAAAGCCTCTGCCTTCCGCTCAGGTCATGATCCCAATGTCCTGGGATCGAGCCCCATGTCGGGCTCTCTGCTCAGCAGGGAGCCTGCTTCTCCTCTCTCTCTCTCTGCCTGCCTCTCTCCCTACTTGTGATCTCTGTCTGTCAAATAAATAAATGAAATCTTAAAAAAAAAATACCTGAACATAAAAAGTTAAGTTGTATGTTTGTGAGAAGGGAATCTGGAAAGGAGTTTTGCACGTGGTCAGGACTAAGATTGTGGAGATTAAAATGTAAGAAAGTTTACTAGGGAGTGATCACCACGTGGAGAAGAGAAGGGGGAGTAGGAGAGCAAAATGAGGCAGAAGTTGAGTGGTCATACAATATCAACAGAAGCCTTCATTGACGCTGAGGAGTTCTAAAAGTTGGATTACCCTTCAGAACCATCCTAAATTGGGGCCAAAGGGCTGGACTTTTATAATACTCATTGGATGTAACAACCTGGGCAAGGGTATTATTCCCTTTGACAAGGCAGGTGTCTTCAGTTAAGGCAACCCCCCCCTTTTTTTTAAAGATTTTATTTATTTATTTGACAGAGAGAGATCACAAGCAGGCAGAGAGGCAGGCAGAGAGAGAGAGAGGAGGAAGCAGGCTCGCCGCTGAGCAGAGAGCCCGATGTGGGGCTCAATCCCAGGACCCTGGGATCATGACCTGAGCCGAAGGCAGAGGCTTTAACCCACGGAGCCACCCAGGCGCCCCCAGTTAAGACAACCCCTGATGGTCTGTGAGAGCTGAGGACTATCAGCCACATTCCCTGCAGCAGAGTCCTTCAGTCCTAATGGGGATTCTTGTCTGCACGTCACAGCACCCAATGCAAAATCTCAGATCCATGCAGCACCCTGCATGTCCTTGTCTCAGTAAGTATATATCAACATGGGAGATGACAGGAAGAAGGAAGATCTGCATGATTTTTTTTTAAAGTTCATCTTGTTGGGGCACTTGGGCGGTTCAGCCAGTTAAGCATCTGCTTTCAGCTCAGGTCATGATCTCAGGGTCCTGGGATCAAGCCCCGGGTCGGGCTTCCTGCTCAACAGGGAGTCTGGTTCTCCCTCTCCCTTTTCCCCTCTGCTCCTGCTCTTGCTCTCTCTCAAATAAATATATTTTTTAAAGTTCCTCTTGAGTTTTAATATTGGAAGTACACCAGTTTAAGATTGGAATTTGGTTTTCCTCTGTTAAAATGGCAGTTTCCTTAGGTTATTAGTATAAGTTGTAAACAAAGATTATTCTGTATTTTGAAACAGCCTAGAAAAACAATGTTTCCATGTTTTGTCTTTAAAATGGAATCTTCTCAACATTAAGCTAAATTTTATTAACGATGATGTAATCCTCTGCATTTATCTTTAGAATCTTATTGCCACCTTAGCTAACTAGATTATTAATTTATTTTTGCTAAGATTTGAGAGCGAGTGAGCAATGGGAGAACTGGCAGAGGGAGAGTGAGAGAGAACCTCAAGCAGACTCTCCACTGAGCATGGAGCCTGACACAGGGCTTGATCTCATGAACCTGAGGTCATAACCTGAGCTGAAACCAAAAGTCAGACACTCAACCAACTGAGACACTCAGGTACCCCAGTTAGTAAGTTTTTAAATGATCTATAATCTTACCTAGGAATGTACTTTAAAATCTGTTATTTCAGACAAACTTCCCAAAATTCAACTTCTAAATGAAATCTTTTTGACTAATTAGGCTTATTTGGTGTATCAGATCACATGGGGAGCTTTGTCAAATAAGTGATAAGCCTCCTCAGGTTATAGTATATGGTTGAATACTAGAACTATTCCAGGAATTATATGAAATTACTAAGGTTTTAATATGACCTTATAGCAGGACATACCAAAAGTTCCAGCAAAACAGATTAAAAAATAAACACCCCTATATGAGCAATCGCTATTCTTGCTGTGCTTACTCGGGGGCAAGGGGAGACAGTTATTTACATACTGTGTAGCAGGAATGGTTAACTGCAGCTCTCAGGCTAAATGCAACCAAACACCGGTTTTTTACACTAAGTTTATTGTTTATTTGAACAGAGCTACACCCATTCATTTAGGTCGGTGGTTTTCAAATACTTCATGAGTACAATCTTGACCCCCAGAGCACATCTTGTGACATCTGGAGACATTTTTGGTTGTTACAATGGGGGGTGGGGGGAGCTATTGGCATCTATGACTGGCAACTTGTGGCCAGATATACTGCTAAACCCACTGTAGGTCATAGGACAGCTGCCCAAAACATCTGGCCTATCAGCAGTGTCACGGCTGAGTTACCCTGGTTCATGTGTTTCTCTGGATGTTTTTGCACTGACATGGTGAGATGAGTGGTCTGACAGAGCTCATATGGCCCACAATACCTAACATATTTACTCTCTGGCCCTTTATGAAAAGTTTGCCCATTCTCTACAAGAAACCATAAAATATACTTAAGTATTTCATGTGTAGTAGGTTGTCTATCAATTCTAGAAAGCTTCCTTTAACACTATTTATTCTAGAAATGAGCCAATCAGTATTTTTATTCATACCTCTTCTAGCCGTATAAAGGGCTATAGTTAAAAAAATTATACTTCATATTTTATTCTGATTATTTAAGGACTATTTAAAACAGTGATTCTCAAAAGCCAATCCAAGTATCAGTAATTGCCATAATGAACTTTTCACTGGCCCATAATGAAATGAGAAAAATAAAGACAAATTTGGGAGATTTTCATAGTTAACTTAATTCAGTGTTAAGGGTGTTATTCCTAATGATTACATCCTTCCTATATTTAAAAATATTAAAATGACCTTTCTTTTCTGTATCAATGTTAGTTTCTTTAACATAGCAAAATTGAAAGTTGTAAATTGGGTCAAATCCTTAGAGAAAATCATTGCTTCTTAAAATCCAAAAGTAAAAAAAAAAAAAAAAAAAAAAAAAAAAATCCAAAAGTCAGAAAACCTGATTTAGAGGCTTTTGTTCCATTATGAGGATTCTTTGATGTTGAACATATATCACATATCACTGCTGAAGGTATTTCTTAAATGTGTTTTGCAATGTCTAATAAGTGATGAACTACAGCTGAAGGCTTTTCCACATTCATTACAGTCATAAGGTTTTTCTCCAGTATGAATTCTCTGATGTTTAGCAAAGGATGAATCATGCCTAAAGGCTTTCCCACAATGACTGCATTTATAAGGTTTCACTCCTGTGTGGACTCTCTGATGAATAGAAAGATGAATTCTCTGGCTAAAGGCTTTCGCACATTCCTTACATTTATAGGGTCTTTCCCCAGTATGAGTTCTCTGGTGTTGAGTTAGGTACGTGCTATGGCTGAAGGTTTTACTGCATACATTACAAATGTAGGGTTTCACACCCGTATGAATAATCTCATGTTGCCTAAGGTGTCTAATCTGGAAAAATGCTTTTCCACAGTCTTTGCAGGTGAAAGGTTTCTCTCTAACATGAGTTCTCAGATGCTGAATCAGCCCAATGCTCTGGCTGAATGCTTTCTCACATACACCACATTCATAGGGCTTCTCCCCAGTGTGGATTCTAACATGTTGAGTAAGAGATGATGGATGTCTGAAGGTTTTCCCACATTCCTTACATTCATAGGGTTTCTCACCAGTATGGATTCTCTGATGTGGAATAAGGGATGAACTTTGGCTAAAGGCTTTTCCACATTCTTTACATCGGAAAGGTTTCTCTCCAGTATGAATTCTCATGTGTTCTGTAAGGTGAATGAGCTGTTTGAAGATTTTTTCACAAATATTACATTCAAAGGTTTTCATTCTTGTATAATTCCTTGAATGATTGATCAAATCTAAATTGTATCTACTTCTCTTTCTAGATATATCATACTTATGGTCTTTTATTCTTGGAGGACCTTCTGGTCTGGGAATAACTTTTGAACTCACATCAATACTTTTCTCAAATCTGTTAGATTTTTGGCCTCTCTCCTGAGTGAGTGTTTTCTTGTGGGTCAAGGGGATTTTCCCATCACCCATTCCTTGGTTTTCCTGGTGGCTTTCTAACTTATCACATTTGGAGACTCTTCCCAGTGTTGAATATAAGGTGCTTCCTCTCGTGGACTGTTCCTTTATTAGGCCATGGTGTAATTCTTCCCATGAAATATCATTCTTTAAGGCTGACTCCCTCGTTTCTGTTTTATTCTCCAAGTCTGAAAGAAATCCCAAAATAGAAATGACCCATACTCAGTGCACTTTAAAAAATAAATGGCCATAGTGAGAATAGGAGGGATGAAAATGAAAATGTACTAAGCATAGAAACCTCGGACTATCTTCAAAGGTAGTTCTGCCTCCTAGAAAGTGAATATAAAAGGAAATGAAGTAATGGTCAAAAGAAAGAAGCTTTCAGAGTATGTAAGGTGATTTCTAGGAATTGGGAGGAGTTCATCCATGTGAATTCCAGAAGGAAGTGCACTAAGAAGAGAGCATTGTTGTAAGGGTAAATATAAGAGATAAGATTAAGGAACACAGGATTCTAGCACCATATCATCTCAAGTCCATATTTCTATGACAAAATATTCTCTATTTAAAAATGGGATTTTTTTCATGTATTTATCTCATACTTTCTACATAAAACATTAAATAATATAGGAGGAACAGCCTCTCTCAATTTCCTTAGTCTCTTAGGATTTTGGGATACATCCATTTAGATATTCCCAAAAGTATGTAGATATGAGTGTGTGCGTTATATATGTATGGTCACAAACATACATTTGTACAAAAAGGGATCATGGTGTGTGTGTGTGTGTGTGTGTGTGTGTGCGCGCGCGTGCATTTATTTATTTATTTCTGCATCTGTTTGTTTGTTTTTTTTTAAAGATTTTATTTATTTATTTGACAGAGAGATCACAAGCAGGCAGAGAGGCAGGCAGAGAGAGAGGAGGAAGCAGGCTCCCTGCTGAGCAGAGAGCCCGATGCGGGGCTCGATCCCAGGACTCCGAGATCATGACCTGAGCCGAAGGCAGCGGCTTAACCCACTGAGCCACCCAGGCGCCCCAACTGCATCTGTTTTTTAATTCGACTATATCTTATGGGGCCCCTTCCATGTCTATACATTTAGATTAATCTCATTTTTTTTTTAAACAAGTGCAATGCATTCAATGCATTCCACTGATGGACATAGCATAATTTGACTTTTCTTCACTGAAAAATATTGAGGTTGTCTCTACTTTTTCATGTCATCATTATACAAACATTTGTTTATATGCCTGTCAATATTTCATAGGATTTACTATAGAGGAATTACTGGGTTCTGGGTATGTGTGCTCTCAGTGGACACGGGTGCCCTTCCCAGTAAGTTCATTCGATTTTTATCACTCTTCATAATTTTTGCCTATACTTATATGAGATGAAAAATGGGCTTCTTAATTTGTGACACATTATTAACTTACTGTAAAATCTTTTTTGTAAAGATTTTATTTATTTATCTGTCAGAGAGAGAGGGAGAGAGCACAAGCAGGGAGAGTGACAGGCAGAGGGAGAGGGAGAAGCAGGTTCCTTGCTGAGCAAGGAGCCCAATGTGGGACTCGATCCCAGCACCCTGGGATCATGACCTGAGCCGAAGGCAGATGCTTAACTGACTGAGCCACCCAGGCATCCTTATACTGTAAAATCTTGAAGGATAGAGACTATATCGTTTATCCATAGTATATATGGGACAATATTTTTGGAGGAAGGAGTTTCTCTTGTTTTTATTCTCTTCCTATTCCCTTTCATCCATTCTGGACCCTGCCATCTTAAACCACCAATATTTCCTATTTACAACAAACTCTTATTCCCCAGGATTTCTAACCTCATCTTAGTAATAGCACATACAAAGTGCTTGGGAATAGCTGGGTAAATCTTGGAGTGGAGTGAAAAAGCAAAAAGAGAGAGGGGTGCCTGGGTGACTCAGCTGGTTAAGCAGGTGACTCCTGGTTTCAGCTCAGGTCATGATCTCAGGGTTGTGAAATCGAGCCTCGTGTCAGGCTCCATGCTAAGCATGGAGCCTTAGCATGGAGTCTGCTTGAGATTCTCTCTCTCCTTCTTTCTCTGCCCCTCCCACCCCTGGCTTGCACTCACACTCCCTCTCTCAGATAAATAAATAAAATCTTTTTTAAAAGAGCAAGTAGAGATGTTTATATTACCTATTACAGGGAATAAGAAGTCACTTAACTTTTCAGGCTAAGAATAAGATAAATGTATTTCAAGAGGTCAAACCTGACAGTAACATTTAAATTGATTCAGAAAAATAATAAAACATTAAAAATACAACTGAAAATATTAGTAATAGGCATGAGATGATGGGAACTTGTCTTGGCACTGCATCAACAAAGATGAAGAGAGGAAGGGAGGCCTAGGTGGTTCAGTTAGTTAAGCCCCTGCCTTCGACTCAGGTCATTATCCCAAGGTCCTTGGATTAAGTCCTGCATTGGACTTCTTGCTCAGCTGGGCACCTGCTTCTCTCTCTGCCTGCTTGTGCTCTTTCTCCCCCCTCTCCAACAAATAAATAAATAAAATCTTTAAAAATAAAGAAAAATTTTAAAGAAGAGGAAAAATGGATCTAGCAGGTAGTATCAGAGAAGCATGAGAAATGAGGAAGCATTGAGAGTAGAAAAACATGATACATTCTTGCTGTTACCATGACTTTTGGTCTTTCAGACTAAAAGAACTGGAGGAGTCAGGATGAGAAACTTGCTTCGGAGAGAAGATGGTCTCTGTTTTTGAATGAACTGGGCTTGAAGTGACAACAGTGCGTCTAAATAGAGATGTCCTAAATACCAGGGATATGTGGGAATAGAGTTCATATGAATATATGAGACAAAGATGAAAATATGGAAAATACAGGTGTCAAGAAACAACTAAAACCACCACGGTATCTGTGGGCATTTGTGCAGATATAGAATAGCAGCGTAAAAGACAGAGGCCCTTCAGGGATTGTGGCAGACACCGCTGGATATCCACCAAAATCTGTTCTTCCCCTTTCTGGACACACAACTACACTATATTTCCCCAATCTTCCTTGATTCTGATTTGAGTGAAGGGACAAAGGTTTCTCCCATAAGTGACTCAGAGTGAAAGTCATGTGAACCACTCCAGGCTGGCCCATAAAATCCTCCCAGGTGGGCTCCTGTGTGCTCTTACTCTGCTGCTGGCTATGTTTAGATGAGGCGGAGGCCCTTGGGGATGGTGCAGCCACATGTGGAAGACATCTCAATCCCAGATTTGCTAGGTCCAAAAGAAATGTCCATGGGCTTACCCAGTTCCCCCAGACCAGTGTACAAGCAAGAAATTCCTATTTCATTGAAGCCACACTTTAGAGTCTATCTGCTACAGTAGTTTAGCCTATCCTAACAGCGGTGGAAATGATGTATCTGCATTAAAAAGGATATTGACGAGAAGCACTGAAAAGGCAATGGGAGAGACAGAGGAGATAAAAATTACTAAACTGGCTGGTGGAGGAAAGGACAGATATTAAGAAGGTGGTGAGATCTATGAACCCAATGCTGCTGTGGAGAATAGAGTCATAAGAACAAGACGGTGGAGCCAGGAGGATTCAAATTCAAATACCGATTTTACTGACAAGTAGCTAAGGACGCTGGACACATTTCTTAACCTGTGGGCCTTCTTTTCCTCCTCTGTAAGATGCGGCTAACATATGCACAGGACCCATGGAGGCCAGCTGGATGAACAGCTGTTGTTATCACTCTTCTTAGATGAAGAAGGCTGTTAAAAGGTATTTGATTTGGTAGGAAGGACTTCTGTGGGGATTTTCCCCAGAGTCCTAAGTTATCTGAAATAAAAAGTTAAACTACACAAATTAAAAAGAGAATCAGAATTGCAACTATGATTACAGAATAAGATTCAGGAAAAAATTTTAAATGGAATTGTGAGAGAGATCTATGATAAAATGACATGAGAATCTGGTGAAAGGTGCTATACTTAATGAGAGGAGATCCATGAATACCGGAATAGACAGGAGAAGGAAGCTATGATCCTGGCAAAGTCTGGAATGCTGGAGAAAGCAAGAAAATCATGAACATTGGGTCAGGAGAATTACTCAAGCAAACCAACCCTGATGAGAAAGGCATCTCTTTCCTCCCCTACTCTAGAGTAATTAATAAGAAGAGGCAAGTGCAGATGGTAATCAAGTTTCTTGTGGGTCCCATCCAGATGGCATGGTCTCCCCCACAGCCTGGAGAAGGCTTCAAGTGGAGCTCTCTAGCAAACATGACAAAGGCCCCATCTGCCTTGCTCTTACCTGAACTTGGACTTCCTGATATCTCTTTCTCGATCAGCCATGGCTCTTCTCCCTTCTCCAACTGGGAAATCACACCAGGTTTGGAGAACTGATATCCTGCTCATGAAGAAGAAAACACTGCATGTGCTGAGGTCAAAGAGCCATCTCAAGAATTTAAAGACAGCTCTTTGGTATTCAGGCCTGCTGAGAGGGTAGAGTAGAAAGACCAAGGCAGAAAAGACCAGAGCAATCCTGACTTGCTGTTTAAAAGGAACTAGAAACTTATATCACAACCCAAAGCCCAAGCATAGCAGTTTGGTTAGAAACAAAGATTTTCTTCCAACAGGCAAGTTCTAGTGATAAGGGGAACTCATCCTTACCCACTGAGACCAGGTTCCCATAGTTCTCCAGCATCACCTCCCGGTACAGATTCCGGTGAGCAGGGGCCAGTTGCCCCCACTCCTCCTGGGTGAAGTCCACCGATATGTCCTTGAAGGTCAACAGTCCCTAGAACATCAAATATGTCCTTTTCAGTTCTTTTTTTTTTTTTAAAGAGTTTATTTATTTATTTGAGAGACAGAGATCACAAGTAGGCAGAGAGGCAGGCAGAGAGAGAGGGGGAAGCAGGCTCCCTGCCGAGCAGAGAGCCCGATGCGGGGGCTCGATCCCAGGACCCTGGGATCATGACCTGAGCCGAAGGCAGAGGCTTTAACCCACTGAGCCACCCAGGCGCCCCTGTCCTTTTCAGTTCTAATATTGCCTACACACTAAGAGATTCTAGCCAAGTTTTCTTGGATACCCTTCTGAAACTTGGTTAGCTGACTCTCTGTAGGAAGTTACAACACACTGCAGCAAGCTTATAAATTGTCTTCTGCAACTTACCATTTGGCTGAAGGAGAAATACTCGTGAACTATTAAAGAAGGTCTCAGAGCAGTATATGATAATTTGGATTAAAGACAATAAAGATCAGGAATATTTGAGGAAAGGGAGAGTTCAAAAGAGGCTGAGGTCACAAAGAAGACAGGGACCTTTGGTGGGCCGAGAGAATTGGTTAAAATGAGAACATTTCAGCATGGGTAAAATATCATTAGCTGGGTATGTCTGTTAGTAAGAAAAGTATGTGAGAACAGCACATTTCTGGAGGGAGCATGAATCCTACCTAGTAAGGAAGACTTGACCAAAGTAGATAACATGTTGTAAAGTACAAGAGCCTCTCATGTACAATCTCTACAAATTAACCATTTTATGGTTATTTTTAAAAATATTATCAAATGCAAAGAGAATCCAGAAGCCAGAAGGCAAAGATAATAACATATTCCTTAAGTATAACAATGACTCTAATGCTTTTTATGTATTATAAGTAAGTCTGGAAGGCATTTGAGGCTTCTTGGGCTGGCAACAGCATGCATATTGTACCAATTAGGAAGCTGAATTTGAAGAATGTTGAAGATATGGGATTAAACCCTATGGAAACTAAGATCATATCATACATAAAAGTCTTCTGTTCTCTAAAAATGTCTCCTTCTATATCAATTTTCTCTGATTAATTTCTAATTTTTCTTGAGTTTCCCTATGATTCTGGGGTTTGACAGCAGAGAGCTGTGCCCATTGCCAGTGCCAATCATTCTCTGATCAGCTCGTTTATGATACACAGATATTACTAAACTGCTCTTAGAAGTTTTCCTTCCTTTTCTAGTCAGCCTATGTAGTGTGTGCCCTACATGACCTGCTAGTAACTTCTCTACTCATTTCCCTTTTCATCTACAATTCTGCTCCAAAACATGACCAGAAATCCTCTCTCAAAGGTCATTAATGAAGAGTATACATCTCCAAGAATGTCAGAACTTCATTCTGTTAATTTTTAAATGTTACTTAAAATGTTTTATATCTGAAACTAACAATGTACTATATGTTGGCTAATTGAATTTATTTTTTTATTTTTTTTTAAAGATTTTATTTATTTATTTGACAGATCACAAGTAGGCAGAGAGGTAGGCAGAGAGAGAGAGAGGAGGAAGCAGGCTCCGAGCTGAGCAGAGAACCCAACTCAGGGCTCAATCCCAGGACCCTGAGATAATGACCTGAGCCAAAGGCAGAGGCTTAACCCACTGAGCCACCCAGCCACCCCAAGGCTAATTGAATTTAAATTTAAAAATGTTTTACAATGTTTGTCTTTCCCCTGGATGACACCTGTGAGGTTTCAGGGCAAGAACTACATTATATAATTTTACACACACATTTTAGGGCAAGAGCTACATTACCTTTACACATACACACACACATACCAACATGATTATTTTTTATTTTCATTTTTCAAATTTTTATTTAAATTCTACTTAGAATATAGTCGAATATAGTGTAATATTGGTTTCAGAAGTAGAATTTAATGATTCCTCACTTACAAATAACACCCAATGCTCACCATAACAAGTGCCCTCCTTAATCCCCAACCCCCATCTAGCCCATCCCCCATGACTTTTAAATGTGTTGGATAAATGACAAGAGGTTTGCTTGAAACAAGAAGGTTCCTGAGGAACTTTCTATTATGATGAACCTTCTATTACGAGAAACTTTCTACTATCGGTGGGAAAATTACCTGTGAAATCGATCAATGTGGCCTGGTTTAGAACATGCTAAGAAAATCCAATCCAGCAAGTTGAGCCAAAGAAAATCAAAGTCCAGGGCTCTTAAAAGCTGAGAAACAATTTCAAGAAAGTGACAGGAAAATCCAACCCACCTGAGATTTCACTGTTGAGGGCCTGGAGGTGACTTGATCCTCAAAACTTTCTCCCTGGGTCTCATCAGCATCCTGAGAGAGCAAAACTGAGAAAGGAAAAGAGTCGTGAGGTTTACTTCTCCCCAAATAGAAAAACAACTTGCAGACATGCTGAACGTGGCTCTTCTCCCAAAACATTCACAGGGAGGGACATTTACAGCAACTCAGAGCAGGCTGGAGCCTCCTTAATGAAAAGGAGCTACAGTACACGGCTTTGGGCATTAATATTCCCCAATGGTCAACACTGGTCCGAAAGAACAGATCTACTTGGCCACTCCTCTGCTCAAAAATCCTCAAAGTTTCCCTACTGATAAGAAAGAAAAATCCAAATACTTTGCTGTAGATTTCAAGATCCTCCACAACCAGTCCATCGTTGCTTCTCTACCCTTCTTCATCCACTGGACACCCCCACCCCTATAGCCCCAATCACTGTTCTTTGAACATACCTCTTACTTGGTGAAAAACTGAGACATCCTTCTGGACCGGTTCAGGTGAAGTTTTCTCAAACACTCTTAATGTGAAGAAAGCATCCTCTTCCCTAAACTCTTCCAAAGTTCGTTTTTATCTCTACTTGGATATCCATCTCAGATACCTGTTTTATTTATTTATATAATTATCTCCCTCAACTGGATATTAGTATGAATATATGGGTAGAAAATATCTGATTCATTTTTTTCCCTATCTGCTAACGGGTTAAGCATAACACGCTTGCGGGTTGCTAGACTTCCAATACTGACTGCATTTGAGGTACCAGAAATATGAACTAGGAATTATGGCAAATGAATTGTTGTCCTTGTATTTTTTCCCCACTTTTTATCATCAAGATTGAACACCCATATAACCACCACCTTATTCAATGATTGTCAACACCTGTCATATCTGCTTCATTTATCTATGTATTTTTTGAACCATTTCAAAGTTGCAGACATCATGATACATCATCCCTAAGTACTTCAAATAAGGATCTTCTGCATAACCGTAATACCATTCATCACACCTAAGCAAGTTAACAATTCATATTCCGATTTCCTCAACTCTTCTCAAACTATCTTTTATTCTGTATTTATTCCAGCCCAGGAGCCAACCAAGGGTCATACATTCCAAAGTGGTTGTTACCTGTAGTCTCCTAGAATGGGACTTCCCCCTTCGTTCTTGACATTGGCTTTTTGAGAGACCAGCAGTCTGACTGTGCTAGTGTTTACCTTACTTCTCTATCCCCTGTATTTTCTTTAAAACAGAAGTTCAGACTTTAAGCTCCATTTAGGATTGGGCTAAATATTTTGGCAGGAATTCTTCATGAGTGATACCATGTGCTTTATATTACACTACCCAGAAGACACAAAATGTGAGGTTATCCCATCATTGACACACTTAGTTAAGGAGAGTGACCACCATGGGCATCTGGGTGGCTCAGTTGGTTAAGCAATTGCCTTTGGCTCAGGTCATGATCCCAGAGTCCTGGGATCGAGCCCCGCTCCTTATTCCTGCTTCTTCTTCTTCCTCCCAAGTAAATAAATAAAAATCTTAAACAAACAAACAAACAAACAAAACCAAAAACAGTAACCACCAGATATTGCCATTGGAAAAGAATATTCTTTCCTTTAGCAAGTAATTTATGGGGGCAGTACTTTGGCATCCTGGGAATGCCCTATTCCCCATTAGCTTTTCAATTATTTCATTTATAGCAAACTAGTCTTTTGTTCCTTCTACTCTTTTTTTTTTTTTAAGATTTTATTTATTTATTTGACAGACAGAGATCACAAGCAGGCAGAGAGGCAGGCAGAGAGAAAGAAGGAAGTAGGCTCCCCACCGAGCAGAGAGCCCAATGCGGGGCTCGATCCCAGGACCCTGAGATCATGACCCGAGCCAAAGGCAGAGGCCTACCCACTGAGCCATCCAGGTGCCCCTCTACTCTTTTTATTGGCAGTTATTTTCAGTAAAAAGCTTTTCCTCAGCAACTGAAAATGATCTAAAATCCAAGGCAAATGCATTCTTCATTCCCATAACAGTTTATTTTCAAAGTAAGAAATCAGTGTATGAATCACCACCACTGTTGGTAAATGAGTCTTTCCCCTTTCTCTATTTTAAGATTCATCATGAACTTATGGAATTTTAATTCAAGGTGTTACAATCAATCTGGATACTAAACAGTCCCAAGTTTGTCCAAACTTGCCATCCTGCTGATACACGTCCATTAGTCTTTGCCCTCTTCCTCGCTTTCTAGCACAAGATACTCCAGGCTCACCTGGTACTTTCCCTGATGCCTTCTACTTCTGACCAAGCCACCAAGTGCCTGGACAGGTCTCTCATTTGATTCAAATTTCCCCACTGTAAAATAAAGAAAATAAGGCAAGTCTTCCCTGCCCCATACCCCCATGGGGAAAATGAAAAGAAATAACATATACAGTCATGACACTTAGATCATGGGGTCAGGTTGAACTGACCACTACTATTCAGAAAAACCCCAGGCCAGGAGCCATAATCAAGAACTCCAGAGACCTTTTACCCAATTGCCTCCCCAAAGAATGCTTCTGCTCAGCTCTCTACCTTCCTTCTCACACTAGAGGACGCTGCCTTTCCTCCTTCCCGCCAAACAGTCTATTCTCACCTTCTCCTTCAAACATCTTAGTCACGTCCTCCCACAGGGACGCCCCCTCCTTGGCCTTCTTTGGATGGCGCAACTTCACCCAGGTGCTGGCCTCCACGGGCAGGGTGATCAGGAGCTGCTGTAGCATGATGACTTCAGCACTCCTTTCCGGGGCTCTCTGCCTCAGCCCACAAGACAGAAGGTCCTATCTGGTTTTGGCCACTTTGGGTAAGCAAACTGCTGGGACCTCGGGCTTCACAGTTGTGCTGGAGTCCTCCACTCTCGCATACCCAGGGAACATACAGTACCAAAATCCAGAGTCTGGACCTTTTAATGTCTAGGCTCGCAAGGACCTTCTCGTCTTGAGCTCCATCCCTCTCCTCGGCAGGCAGCTGGAGGCTCCAGGTTTCTAAGCAGCACCCTGGGGATACTGGACAGAAAATATCAGTCAATAAAAGCATCTAGAAAGCTGAGTCGCACGGTCAGAATTCTAGAACTTACACCAATCAGCGAATATTTTTCACAAAAGATACAGGGAGATGGTGGGTCTATGCAGCCCACGCGGTCCAAACCCCTGTGCTGGTGTCGTGAAGCACAAAGAGATGATGAAAGCCCAGTTCTTTGATGTAGGTAGTTATGTTTAAACTAGTTGAGATTTTAGAATCCCAAAGGCACTGGGTTTGAATCCCAGCTCCTTCGCCTCACTTGGCCGAGGCAAATCACGGAACCCCTGCAATCCCGTCTCTTCCTCCCGCAACGGAGAGAATAAGGCTTTCTCCAAGCCTGGACCTCGCAGCCTTTGGGCGCGACCTGGGCGCACCACGCGCCACGGGGGACCGCAGGCGGGGCGGAGCCGGCGCTTCCGTGGCCCCCGCCCCAGACCCCGCACAATACACCCGCTCACCCCCTGGTCCGCGCGCCCGCTTGCCCTTGCTCCCTCGACCCGGGGCCAGCAGCCCTCCGCACAGCTCGGAGATGCTCCCACGTAGCGCAGCCGTGGCCGGTGCGCATGCGCGGCAGCGGCCTCCGCGCGTGGTTCCCAGCGTCCTCCCGGGCTGCGTCCGGCTCGCGGCGCCTCCCGGGATGCTCGCCCGGCGGCCGGGTCGCTCCGTGGCTCCAGGCTCGCTGCTGCTCGGCATCCCCACCGCGGGGGATGCAGCCCCACTCCTGCGGAAGGAGGGGGGGAGCCGGTGCTCTTGTCCCCACCCAATCTACTGAATAGAGCCGTCTGCCCTCGGCCGGCCGGCAGGAAGCGAGTGAATGTTTCCATGGGGAGACTGGAAACCATTAACAAAAGGGAAACGTCTGTATCACTTTTTTTCCGAACAACGTTGCTATAAACGAATCCATAGTGCTTTTACTTCATATGTACGTGGAAAAGACTGAGAATGGAATGGAATCCCGTGTCTTACTAAAAGAATACCATGATCAGGTCGTTTTTTGTGCTGCCATCAATACATTCTTATGTTAATTGCTTTCCTTATAGTTCTGAAATGCCAGAAAATACACAAAAGAAAAATAATTATTACCTAGAATCTCATCAAGCAGAGATAAGCATTGCTAACATTTCGTGCAGACTTACACACACACACACACACACACACACACCCATGTTTTTTTCATGCATTTTTATGTATTCTCTAAAAAATGATTATACTCTAATGCACTTTTATTGGTGAGTTTTGTCTCCTCAACAAAATAGGAGTACATCATTCCAAAAACACTTCTACATCAATAGCTTATAAAAAATTTAGAAAATAAAATGAAACTATGTACTTGCTAGCTGTTGTGAACTGAATGTTTGTGTCTCCCCACCCACCTCTGCAATTTCATATGTTGAAGCCCTAAACCCCTGGTGTAGTTGTATGTGGAGTGAGGAAGTAATTACGATTAAATGGAGCAATAAGGGTGGGGCCCGTGTCCCACAGGATCAGTGTCCTTATAAGAAGAGGCACCAGGGGCGCCTGGATGGCTCAGTCGTTAAGTGTCTGCCTTCAGCTCATGTCATGGTCCCGGCGTCCTGGAATTGAGCCCCACATCAGGCTGCTTGCTCCGCCGGCAAGCCTGCTTCTCCCTCTCACTACCACTGCTTGTGTTCCTTCTCTCTCTGTGCCTGTCTCTCTGACAAATAAATAAATTTTTAAAAAGAAGAGGCACCAACCTGGGTGGCTCAGTGGGTTAAGCCGCTGCCTTCGGCTCAGGTCATGATCTCAGGGTCCTGGGATCGAGCCCCGCATCGGGCTCCTTGCTCAGTGGGGAGCCTGCTTCTCTGTCTGCCTCTGCCTGCCTCTCTGCCTGCTTGTGCTCTCTCTCTCTCTCTGTCAAATAAATAAATAAATAAAATCTTAAAAAAAAAAAAAAAAAAAAAAAAAAGAAGAAGAGGCACCAGAGGACTCACTCTCTGAAGGTGTAGGCACTGAGGAAAGATCATGTGAGGATTTAGCAAGAAGGTGCCATCTACAGGCCAGAAAGAGTTCTCACCCTAAACTGACCCTGCCAGACTTTGATCTGGAACTTCTAGCAGCACAAATGTAAGAAAGTAAATTTCTGTCATTTAAATCACCAGGTCTATGATATTTAGTTATAACGGCCCAAGGAGTTTAATGCACTTGGCATACAGTATTTACAGAGCACGAGGCTTTGTTCTCAGTGCATTATGTATTTAACCTATTTAGTCCTCATAAGACCCCCTGAGGCAATTCCCAGTTGGCAGATAAGAAAAGTTAAGTAATTTGCCCTGCATGATACCTTTTGCAGGTGGTGAATCCAGGCAGTCTATGCTCCCATTCATGGCCTAACAAAAACACCACATAAAATAGAGTAAAATGTTAATGGTAGGTAGTGATACATGAATGCACACTGTAAAATTACTCCAACTTTTCTGTATGTTTGAATATTTTCATAATAAAACATTGGAAAATATGGCAAAGAATAAGAATTATGTGGAACATTATAAATAAAACTACAAAAGTTACTGATTTAGATAGACTATGACAAGCACCACATTCATGGATTGAAATGGAGCATTCTAAGTATGTCACTTTTCCTCCACTTTAATGATCCTCCACTAAATCTCAACTTTTCTTTTTACTCAGTTAAATGATGCTGAAGTTTACTTGGAATGGTAGATATTCTAGAATGGCCAATAAAATTGTGCAGCAATAATGAATTCAAACTTGCCCTACCAATATGATGTAAGATATAATCTTGTATTATAGAGGGACAATAATCAAGATAAAACTAGTGTCAAAATAACTCATAAATTAATGACATGGTTTTGGAAGCCCATAAACAGACTTGATAATTTATTTAAACTTAATATATTATAAAAAGTGATATTTCAAATTGGTGAGGTAATGATAGATGTTTCAATAAGTGACATTAGATCACTAGTTGGCCATTTGAGGGAATTGTGTTAGTCTGCTTGGGCTGCTGCAATAAAATACTACAGACTGGATGACTTAAACAGCAGAAATTTATTCTCTCACAGTTTGGGAGTTGGGAGGTCCAAAGTCAAGGTGCTGGCAATATAGGTTGCAATCTGAGACCTCTTCTCTTGTAGGTGGGAGCCATCTCACTGTGTGCTCACATGACCTCTTCCTGTGTGTATGTGGGAAGAAAGAAGGAGCTCTTTGGTATTTCTTCTAATAAAGACACTAACCCTATCCTTATGACTTCATTCAACCTTAAATACTTCCATAGAGTCCCTATCTCCAAATATAGTCCCTTTGGGGGTTCAACATGAATTTGAATTTGGCTGGGACACTAAACACCCGGTGTATAAAAGGAACATATCAAATGGGATTTCTACTATACATGTTAGATATCATGTAATTTTGGGAAAGTTAAGCTTTGAAATATTCAGAGAGGTGACTCTACAAATAGTTTTGTGATTAAGCCTCTTTGCAAGTAACAAGTTCACCAGAATTGCTTTCTAAGTTAAAAGGATGATGGTGGTGGTGGTGATAATAATTGGCAGGATTCTGGAGTGTCTTTGGGAATCCAAGGAAGAAGTGATTAGCCCAGTCTGTGGAAGGTTAGGGACCAGTGTATCTGGTTAGTGCTCAAAGCGTTGCCCTCTACACTCCATACCACCAAACTTAATATGGTTCAGTTTTAGCATCTCCTAGTGTCTGTTGCTCAATTCAAAATTCTAGATCTTGGCAAGATCATTTAATCAGTGAGTGGTGACCAGATGGGCAGGCAGGGTCCTAGTAGACCTGGTTTCTGGGCACTCACCCCCATAAGTAGGGGGCAGTTCCCAACAAAGGAGAAGTGTTCCAGACTGAGAAACAATATGCATGTTCCTTGATTCATTGAATGACGCAAGAAAGATGCTAAAACATGATTTTTAAGTACCAAAAAAAAACCCCAAGATAAAACTAGTGTCAAAATAACTCACCCCAAATAGATAAATTTATGATTATTTCAAATATTCCAAATAAAATATTAGGAAATAAAGCCAGCAATGCATTTAAGACATACTATATATGACCAAGCAAGGTCAAGAGCAAAATCATAAGATCAAAAGGCATTAATAATATTTAGCAGTCATTACTAATATACATTTATTTGTTTAACAAGTAGTTATAGAGCACTTACTCTTTGTCAACTATTGTTCTGATTAATATACTGAAAACCCAACTAAAAAAAGACTAGAAGGAAACTACTTGAATATAAAAAAACTATTTACAAAAGACCATAGCAAATAGTATTCTAAAATGATGCAACACTAAAACCATTTTGCTTAAAATCAGAAATCTGCCAGAGCATTATTTTTTAACATTGTCTTGGAGGACTTATCAAATACAATAATATAAGGAAGGTAGCAAATATATTGGAAAAGAACAGTTAGAGCTATATGTGTCCTTTTGCTGATAATATGATATATGACAGACCATCTAGAAAAACCTGAGTCTTGAATAAAAACTAAAATAAGTGGGAGACTTTCATGTAAGGGACTTGCCTCATAAGAAATACACACAAAATAAATATCTTTCTCACTCTAGAAATGAGCATATAGGAGTGTCCGGATGGCTCAGTTGGTTAAATGACTGACTCTTGATTTCAGCTCAGGTCATGATCTCAGGGTCCTGGGATCGAGACCCACGTCCAGCACCTTGCTCAGGCAAAGTCTGCTTATTCCTTCTCTTCTGCTCCTCCCCCTGCTAATGTTCTCTCTCTCTCTCTCTAAAATAAATAAATAAGTAAAATCTTGAAAGAAAGAAGCATCTAGAATGAAATGTAGACGAGAGCAGTAAAAACAAGCATTATTAAAAGTCATAAAACAAGATTTGAATAAATGTAAAAAAGTATATGACACTTGAGGGAGATTTGATCATTACTGTCAAGTAATATAAAACTTCATTGCAATTCCTCTTAGAATTCCAACAGGGTTTCACTTTGATTCCTGAACTAGATAAAAAGATC